AGTGCTCCAAACGCGGAAGCGGCAGCTTCAAACGGCGGCGGCGGCTCCAAACGGCAGAGGCAGCTCCAACGGCCTCGGCTAGAGAAAAGAGCCAGCCTCTCGGAGCATGCCGGCGTCTTTCCCTCTCTATGTATGAAAGAGCTCGCCTTGCTCGGAGCGTTTGGCGAAGCACACGAGTTTCGCAGTCGGAGAGGGAGGCGGCAGCGAAAAGAACGCGGCAGCAACGGCAGGATGCTGCAAGTCAGGACCTTGCATTGAAGCAGCCCGGGGGGGACGTAGCCACCTCCCTCCAGCCCACCTTGAGGATTTGCCTTTTGTTGTTGGTATACTTGGCTTCAGGCGCTCCTGTCGGCGCCTTCCCTTTGCCTTCGAAGGTAAAGTGAATTATTTTAAAAACCTCCGCTCATCCCGCCAGGGCTGCGGCAGAGCCGTACAGGCTGGGCAGAACCAGGAAACATCCGCGGCTCGCTTTCCCGGCTCTGCTCAGCTCTCACGGCTCCAGCGCGGCCCTGATGGGATGAGCGGAGGTTTTTAAAATAATTCACTTTACCTTCGAAGGCAAAGGGAAGGCAGCCACAGGAGCGCCTGAAGCCAAGTGTCAGCCTCAAGAGATAATCATCCCTACCTATCAAGATATCTTCGGCCCCTAATTATAACTTATTTGTTGCTATGCTCTTTACTTCTCTTTCGGCTGTCATGAAACGGTGGGAGGGGGGAATCTTGGAGGGGAAGAAGGCAGGAGGTGTTTTGCAGGAGGTGTTTTGCATTCCTTTGCTGGGTAAAGAAAGGGAGGGGGGATTCTTTGTGGTAACTTTCCATTTCTTACTAACCTCTGTCCTTTTTTCTGCGCAACTGCAAACTTTTATCAAAATATGTCAAGGTCACTGACAGTAGCCTCATCATCACCTAGAGATGACCACATGATCCTATTCAGAAGTTTTAATTGGAAGAATCATTTGATCTCTGGAGGGGGGGAGCAATTCTATCCCTTTGTATATGCATTTTACCCGCCAATAATTTAGTTTCGGAATTGATTCTGTTTGCTACCATTCATTTCCCAGTAAAAGATAAATTCTGCTCTACATCATGGAGTCTGAGTATTTCTTTCTTGGGATTTAGAAGGAGCACAGTCTGACACCAAGTGTCTCCTCAGGGCTCCGGTTGCAGGGAGGAGCCCTGACTGGCTGCATGTGGCTGCGCCAAACGCCGCGGCGTTGCTGTAACGCTACGGCAGCAAGGGAGAAGGGAAAGCAACAGTGATGGAAGGTCTCCCGAACATCCAAGCTGTCGCCGCCCGCCCACCCGAGGATGCAAGGGGGGGGGAAATTAAGTCACCCCCGAAAAGACGGCCTAGCCGGTTTTTCGGGGGTCAAAAAAAAATAAGGCCCGGCCTTATTATGTGAGAAACACGGTAGTAACTATAATAACTTCCATCATATGAAAATAAATATAATAATCTTTTCCCAGTTTTTAATTTCTAGCTCTATTTCCTGGGCTTTAGTAAAACAGATCCTATATCAAAATTTATTCTATATTTATACATCATCTCTTGTCCTTTTTGATATTACAACTCATTGATTTTTTTTTTTTATCAGTCTCCCTTGCCCCTCTCTTGGAACCTTGTATCCCTCTGTGTCACTTCTGTTTACACTAAATGTCTTCTCCACCTCTGCCTCTGCTTCCCGTACCTATCTGTATCTCTTTCGTCTCTGCTAGTGGATCTTTCTCTTTGCTCTGCTTCATTTTCGTCTGTTAAAGAGTAATCTCTCTGGTCTATTCTTACTATCTCTTTTGTATCCTTATCTACTTGTATCATTAATTGGACTCTCCTCCCATCTTTCTTCCACTCCTTCTGAATTCTCCTCTATTATCTGAATTTTTGTTCATTTTCCATTATCTTTTGCTGGCAATTTCCTGGTCTCCAATCCGTATCGCGCATCAATTCCATTATCTCCCTATGGTTCTTTGTCATAGTTTCCTTAATATCTTGAAACATTACTAGTATTTCCGTTTGGAATACTCCCTTGTTGCATTATTTTACTTTATTTTAGTGTGCTGAAAATTATTCAGTAATTCACCCAAGTGTTCAAAAATGTCAGAAAGTCAGTATTAAAAAAATTTGTTCAGTCCACAGTATTTATATTACTCAAAGTCTGTTTTGCTCCTTCTAAATTTTTCAAATTTGTAGGTTCTATTTAATTTCTTCTTTCACATCGTAAAATATTCCATCAAGTAATATTTGTGATCCAAAGTGGCACACCAAGTTTCTCCGTAGCTCATTAATTCCTCAATTCAGGTATTAATTTCAAAGGCAATTTCTGTCATTTCTAGTC